AAGCCCAGTGTTCGCCGACCAGAATACTACTAAACAAAATAATATACATATTATATATATATATAAATCCACGTTTATTTTTCGTGTTAAGATCCGATTTACTATCTTAATATGTATAATAAATACGACAGAAACTGTACCAAACGTTTATTGCATGATTTATTTCGATACTAAAATACACATATGACGTATACCTACGCTATACAAATCTACCTACGAGCCATCTATAAATAGTATAAAGCAAAGCCGTTGTCTTCGTCGTCTAGCCTATATCTCCCTTACTTTTTCTTAACCAAGCATCTGATTATGATGCAGTTTTCGCTATCTTTTGAAGGCTTTCTTTCAGAATTATATATCTATACATAAATCTTACTAATATTATAAACACTAACGTTTGTGGACATGGATGGTTGTTTCTTACTTTGAATAGATTTTGATGAATGTGTAGTGATTTTTCGTTGCACAATCTACTGGTATATTAATAAACTGCTGACATTCCGTCAGCTCGGGACCACGATAGTTCAGCTTAGTCTAATGGCTGAGAAAAGTAAATATATATATAATTATTTATCATATTATTTATCTTTGTTTAAAAATAATTACTCAGAATGTTTTAAATATATTCAAAGGATTTTAATTATTATGAAACTTTCATAATAAATGTTAGAAACATATTGAATTACATGTAAGTAACATACTCTGTAAACATAGCGTCGTCCTTAAAATAAATTTAATCTCCATCATCTCTTGTCTACATATTTGGTACACGCATCTTTGAAATGAATATAACATTTAGCAAAGCCTTTTTATATATTCCAGTTTTAATTAGGAATGAATTATTCTTAAAAGAAATAACATTTCTTATCTTTTGTAATAGTATATTTTCTTTAGTTACCTCTAGTGGGCCTCTTTTTTTCAACAATAAAATGCTTACGTTTTCTAGGGAAGCTGTTGCTATTTACCTTGATACATTAAGATGTTAATAATAAAATACAATTACTACTGCAGAATTCCTGTACATTGATAACATTGCAAAAGTGATTATCCTCTCAAATTATGTTGGTCTTACCACAGCGTTACACCATTAAGATAAAGTTGAGTTCTGTATGGTTTCATTCACTCATGGAACACAGTCACGGAGCAGCAAAATCTCAGCAATCAGAGGGAACGGCGCACGAAGCACTTTATCACTTACGCCTGTAATCATAGCCTTCCCCAAAGTTGTTCCACGTACGTGTATACCACACATATAACCACAATTTGGTAACTTCGACAGTTTATTATGTCGGGTGGTACACGATTGTGAAGCTTCCGGGGATTGTCGACGCAATCATTGTCAGATCGTCACATAAGTTTATTATCTTAGATATGTTATCTATGTTGATATAAATAAGAATTTCACCGAGGCAAACTTTGCAAAAAAAAAACGTCTGCGTGTGAACCTCAGTCTCACCTATTACAGCCGTCAAGTAGTTTGGTTTGTAAGCTATATTTTGGTTTAAGAGTGAATTAACTCAGTGAAGATATATGTATTAGAGGCATCTTAGTATTTAGGAATAGCAATGCTTGAGTAGTATCATGGGTGTCGCAATCTGTGTTTCTTTAATAATTATGCTATGTAGTATTAAGGTTTGAACGGATTAGGTGTAATTTTAAAGAAATGTCGAGAGAATTTTATATAGATCAATATTGATACTCGTTATAATTTTATTGGTGAACCGGAGAACCGGAGAACTATTTTAATACGAAGTTACCATCACAGTGTACATAATTTTATGAGAAGCTTAAAAATATTAAATATCGCCATTGTAGCTACAAAGTCGTCATTTTAAGAGTGTTTCGATAAAGCCATTATTCTATCATACTTGGTATCGGGTGGGTGCCGTAAACCCGAGCCATTTAGACAACGTAATTCAGTTGCTCCCCCCTAGAAAAAATACGCCCTCCCGAGTAAACGAGGTTTTAAAGGGTGTTTATCTTTTTCTAATGTATTTTTGAATACATTATTTAGTTTAATCACGTATATGGTGTTTGTATTGTAATCATATAAATGATGATGATCAGCAAAACATTAACTCATTGAACATCCCACTGTTGAGTATCAATGGCAATCTATTCGAGAAGAATGATAGAAAAAAATGATGTATGAAGGTTTTCATGATCGATACACTTTCATTTTTCTACGTTTTTACGAGTATTCTGTTTTCTGATCTTGTAGGTATAATGTACAACATCATATTACCTAGGGTTATAAATTAAAAAAAAAAACACAAAAATAATATTGATTACATTACGTTCTCTTTTTAAAGAGCTCACCTAACAGTTAAAAACAACTGCTCGTATAAATAGACCGATGTACGTGCAAGAGGCGAAAGTGTTTTATTTTAGCTGGAGCATCTGGTATTCCATTGTTTCTATCGATCTCAGTGAAAAACAGACAAGACGTTTATATGTTTTTGAGTAGTAGGAATGATAAACATGCGATAGGCGCTTACCTGATGGTGAGACTATGTACAACAACAGCACTATTGCATCACGATATCATGTGATCTATGATACATTGTTAATTACAGGATTACAGGATGTGCTCCGGCACTTAGATGTGATGCCTGTAATTTGATCAGAGGTAAACTGTAATACGTCGTCTCTATGGGACTCCAGTCTCACCTATTTCAGTGTCGAAGCAGTTGCCTAGTAGACTGTGTATCAGTTGTTGTGTAGGGTACGATTATGCAATGAAATTACGGGATAAGAGGTATGACGTTTTAGATCTTTGGAATGCCACATAATAATGTGACGTCCGTAGTATAATTAGTGGATGGTTATCGTTTACCATCAGGCTGGCCATTAGCTTGTTTGTCATTCAAATTACATCTCGACTAATTTCACCCTTCAACAACATGAAATAGGTGAGACAGAGGACTTTGTATAAAGTCAATCTGACTATGCAATTTAACAGAGTTTTTGTTAAAATATTATAAAATAAAATGTACATTCAGTGTGATGCTAATGACCTCATTCTTTCATGTCGTCACGCTATTTTTAAGATGGAATAGTGTTACCGTTTGATAATAAGTTACGTTACATAATATTCAACTATATGGTTTATTTAGTATAATTGATATTTTGTTATTTACTCTATTTTGAACCGGTTGGAAATGAGAGCTGTTTTGACTATAAATTACATATGCCCTACTGTACTGTTACTATATACTGATTGTAACTGTCGCCTATAAATATAGATGGGTGGATATATAGAATACTATTGATATCATACCGTACTCGCTTTGTGAATCTGAGTCTCTTAATCGAGAATCTCTTATGTGTTAAACTAGGATACGATTTAGCTCCCTGTGTATTAATTTTTATTAATTAATTTATTGTAATTAAAATTCATTACTTTAAATAAGATTTACCTGAAAATAATTTTCCAACTAACATAAAAGCTATAAAACGTTTCATTATCTCAAGCCGCAATTTAATGTCGTTTCGAACATATTGCATTAACAACTGTACTTTGTCATGCCCGGTTGTAATCAGGGAATAGTTTGGGCACATTTGTAACTGCAACTACAATTCTCCAGTTTTAATTAAAACCACACCTTACTGAGCTTGTTGCTTTGATTTAATGTTTTTTTTTCGTTATACGTTTCGTATTATTTTAAAAGATTGAATTTTAATAATAGCGCTGAGTATTCGACTAATTATTTTATGTATAATAGCTAGCTGTACGCTCCGGATTTGCACGGGAGTATATGTTTTATTCATATAAACTTTTCTCTTGAATCGCTCTATTAATAAAAATTTCATTAAAATTCATTGTGTAGTTGAAAAGATTTGATACAGATACTTCAACAATAAAGACATCTATTTAAATTATTTTTACTAAAATTTAAAATATTCTTCCTCTGTTATATAGTATTATAGTTTTTCAAATTTGAGTAATATATATGGTTGTACTTTATTCATACTTATACTATTACTAAATTGGTATAGATTCTTCATTATAGAAAGAATATGAACAACAATCAAATTACAATTTAATAATAACTAAATACATAGACGAATGTTTATTGAAATATAAAAATTCACGACTATTTAGACAGAAATAAATAGATAATCTATTAATAATGCCACTTATTTTGCGTAAATAAGCAGGTGTTACCCAAAATATATTCGGTCTTATGTATAAATATTTTGGATAAGCAGCTGTTGTAATAATTATTGGCAATTTTTTTAAAATATAAATTCAAATTCAAATTCCAAATATCTTTGTAGGTTTATTACAGAGTCTTATGATATGTCAAATCTACCGTCAGTTCGGAATGATTTCCAGATGAGAAGAACTGACAAGAAACTAAGCTCGTATTTTTTTTTAAAGGTTGTAAATATTTACAATAATACAGATTCATTTAAATTCAAATTTGGGAGAATAGAGTGACCACCAGCATATGTTATTGAAAAAAAAACAAAAAATCTAATCAGTGTTCGCAACCTGAACAGATCAATCCCCACAAGCAGCACCCGTTCACGAGTATGACGGATGAGCCAGCCATCATTGTACTCAACCATATTAGAGAGAGGACATCGACAATACTTGATGATATATATACTTATAGAAAATAATTAATGAAATTATTGTTAATTATTAAAATTCAAGTGTAGTGCACTTTTAAACATCAGAATTAAGCATTGTATCCGAAATAAATATAAATATGTAAATCAATATAGCTATATACAACAGTGTAATTATGACAACTGTTTATAAAAATCCGCGCCACATGGCGGCAGCATCCTTCGGTTAAATATTTACGACGCACCCGAGTCTGCACATCTAAACTGGAGCTTAGATCTCGTGATATTTCGGTGTCGGTGTTAAACCGACACTGCTCTAAAAATGTCTGGACTGAAACAGGGGACAGCACAAGGGGAAAGAGGGGCGCTTGCAAGAGATTGCAGGGCGCGGGTTGCGGGGTGTTGGCGCCTACGCACTGCCCGCCGCACCTTGCCGCCCGCCCAACTCCAGTCAGCAGCTGTGGCTCGTGTTGGCTGAACCATCAGATAGGGCCATCTTCTTTTTTCTTACCGTAGGTGAGTTCTGATGAGTTTTACTAATTTAAAATTTTATTATGAGTTTGATAAGTGTATTATTCGTTCAGTGAAGTGATATGTCAATATAACAAAATGGACTATTGTCAAGTAACGCCGGGAAATGTGACTAGTATCGGGACGTTAAAGTGATGTGAGATATAATAACGGGACGTTCATGAACTGGAAACCTTAAGAGTAGATATTAGTGAGGTCACAAGGATGTTTATTGTACCCACATAAAAATACTAATATTACACTATAATGACAAAATTACTTATATTAGGTATACAAAGTAGGTTTATTTTGTGCGTAGATATGACGTCATCAAAATAAGTAATAAAGAAAATTTACTTCGTAGATTTATAAAATAAAGAATTTCAATTAATAATTTACAACCTCATCTTAATCTCAAATCATTTAATAACACAGTTTAAAAATCGTCACGTGTTACCATTACCATTTTAATAAAAAATGGGTAAGGTTTTATAGGTGTGTAATTAAAAAATATGTAAATCCAATTAAATTTTGTTCAATGTTTACTAGAAACGGTTCTCAGTCTCACCAAACATGTTATACTTATTTTTTATTCGAATTTTAAAATATGAACGAAATATAATCTATATCCGTTGTATGTTGTGTACGTCTATCAGCTGTTACATCCGAAATCCGTGTAACCTAAGTCGCAACCGTGCCACCAAATTAGGATACGGTGATATGCAAGCCAACCTATTTCGATCGCGCGCGCGCCGCCCGATAACAGCCGAGAACTACCGACTTCGCCCGAATCTAATTGTGGAATTTTCATTTCCCTGCAAACTTTTATGGCACCGAAACTTTATTCCTTCGTAACGCGTAATAACTTCTGTCGTAATCTTATTTAGATTAGCAATTTGCATACGGATTTATTGAATTATCCTCTTATTTAACATTAGTCATGTATGATGGTACCTCCGGATATGCCTATACAATAGAATACAAAGTGTAAAGATTTTGTCAGTATCAAATATCTATAGTTCGCACCTAGGCGGCTGGCAATTATCCAAATAGTTTCAAGTAACAGGTTTGTTTCCATTAAGGACTGCCAAATACGTATTTTTACGTTGCTATGAAAAATGAATAGGTACATAGAGTATTCTCTATAACTTTAGTATTATTGTGTATTTTATATATTTTTTGTTGAAGAGATTGATAATATGAGAATGAGGTCAGATCAGTTAGCACATCGTGAAAAATTCACCAGTAATTTATCATGATGGTTTTCAGGACGAACCGCGTGTAGGTCAACCTGATATGGTATACTGCTAGCAATGGGGTCAGCAGTCCACATTACTAATAATCCTTTCGATATTGGTGTTATTTGTGCTTGAAAATTCTACCAATTATGGAAACAAAACACATGACTCCAAATCTTTACCAAAACTTCTGGTATGGAAATAGCAATTATTAGGGATAGGCCGATTAGTATAGTTTACTAATATTCTGACGACTTTTCTGCCACCAACAACATCTTAATGTTAATTTTCATATATTTTAAACATTTTTAATATTTCTAAGTAGCTGAAGATCGATCGATTTTGTCATACAATTTTACAGTAAGCTATCTCAAATGTTTTATCATTAGAGATAATACTTATTAACTTACTACTACTATTATAGTATTTAAATGAAAGATGAATCATATATATGGTATTAATAAAAATATACATATTATATACAAGTGCAAGTTTTTTAAATGTCATTAATTTTCTTACCTTTCATATTATTATAAAGTATATACTTAGTTTAGTAGGTACCTATATCTTAATTAAGTATGCATCGGATTTCCAGTTTGCTCTATATTGTATAAATACGTATTCTGTTGTTTTAGTTATAACTTCAGCAATTTAAATATTTAAAGTAGGTAACTGTGTGCAGTCGGTTCATTGTAGTTTCCATACGAATATATAGAATTGCTAATATCTACTAGTTTCAACAAAGTTATCAGAATCAGTGAACACTTTGGAAAGTGTTTAATCTATACTGATATTATAAAGAGGTACAGTTTGTGAGTTTGTATTTATGTTTCATTAATAATTACGATTATTAATATTTAATTAATGATTTACAGGACACAGAGACCAACACAAACAAAATGGCGGATGATGAAGTAAGGTAAGAAGCTAGCTAAAGTCACTGTTTTATTTATTATATTATTTTTATATACATACATTATTATATTCGGTGAAGCTGTAAAGGCCAGTTGCGGCCAACAGCATTATAGTAGTCCGAAAAAAGGACATAATTATATTTATCTCTGCTTTGGAGGATTGCAACAGAAGTGTCAAATTGTCTTTACGACATACATTATGTATAATATATATTCCAACTATAAATAATAAGTAAGTAATAAATCTTATTTTTTAGACAGTATAAAAATATAATACAATTTATGTATTGTTCGATGAAATGAAATGTTCGTACCTTTTATACATCTTATAACTTCTCGATATTATTAAATACAATAATAAATGTAATAATTATAATTATATAATATCTAAAATCAACTATAATAATAAGTTCAGTACATTACATTATTCGCTAAAGTTGAGCAAAACGAGGAGCAAGTGAGTAAATATTGAGTGGGTCTGTAAAATGTTTGATGAAGTCTATGGTTGCTTTTTATTAGGTAAATATTTTATTATACATTTACTTCATCTGGTATAAGTTCTGAAGTATGTGTGTGAAAGAGAGAGAAAAAAAATGAGCAAAAAAATTGGTGAATAAATGATCCATAGTGAATTAATTAGCATTTTCTCTAAAATCGACGGCGTTTGTTTTTTGCCGCATTTAAATTCAATTGGACGGTAGCATTATAAATCAGGAAAATAGACATGCATAAGTGATTAAAGTTGCCCTATGTAATGCCAATAATTTTGATTTTGGTGTCGTATTTTCCATCATGATTAATTTCATACTTAATAAATAAAGTAGATGTATGTACTAAATTGAATTTATACTGCGATAGACTTAAAAAAAATCGTCTACCTTGGGTATCTATTGTCACGTATTTCAGCCGCCTGGCAGCTTGTTTATAAGCAGTGCGTCGGTTGGAAACTGAGATATGGCAGTGAAATTACAGTGTATGAAGACATTACACCTGTTTTTGCGAAATGGCATCAGGGATGTAACGAACGTCATACGAAGAGGTGTATTTTTGTATAGTATATAGGTAACGATTGCTATATTATACAAAGTGTAATCAGACTGTTAACTATAACTATTATATTAAAATTCAAATGCAAATCGTTCATTCATTCAATGACAATTTAGCCGCTTATGAACGTCAATATTTTTGTATTATAATGTTTTCCATGCAGTCCATTTCAATATACAGATTCAATTGAGAAGAACTGGCATGAAACTCAATTGAATTTGTCATTTAGTTAGGTATATAAGTGTATATAAATATCGTTAACTAACATGGTGTTTCTGATTTGTTTTCTGTTCCATTGTATTTATTCTCTACATCGTCTCTGCTGTCCGGTCACTGCGGTCCTGGTACTGGTTGTCTGGGTGCTTCCATATCTACCACACACCAGTATTGAGTCTATCTCCTCGAGACTCAGGTAAATGTTGCAACTAACCCGCTTATGCCTGTTACACGAAACAAATACAGCATCCAAAAATATCTATTACACCACTGTAATAAAGTCTATTTTAAAAGATAGAAATAAATGTTTAAAAAAAGATGGTGCATCGACGCTTCATTTTATATAACATGAAATTTCTGTTACAGCTGTTTTTATATAAATTTTTATATATTTCACTTCTCGTCAGTTAGTAAGTTTCGATGTCCAGTTTAACTGGAGGCTTAGAGCATTTTATGTAAACGCTATATAATTTGTACACGCGCAATGTTTTTTTATGAATTATTTCACGTAATAATACGCTATTGGATCCAACAAAACAGTATTTAACATCGAATATATATAACATATGAATTCTAACACACTTTGATATGTGGCACAAGTTGTATAATGTCATTGCTTTACTTGTTTATTTAATCATACGTTTATAAAGATAAAATTTTAATCAGTATGTAAAAAACTATGATATAAATAACATGTGGGCAATGATATTATAATCAAAATTACTAGCACAATAATGCACTCGCAAAACTCACACCACAAGCTCCCAAACGCACTGATGTAACACCTAATACAAAAGCAATATGTAATTAAAGATCCATTTATATGTCTGTGTCAAATTTCAATGTTTCAGTATGTAATTTATAAAGAATACTAATATTTTTCCAAATTGCCTCTAATTCATTTTATATTGGTAACAAATTATTTAAAGTGTTAATGATTTTTACATTGCCCGAAAATTAATGTACCTACATATGTTGTCTTTCTCGTTTAATTTCATGTTATTCCGAGTCTCGTAAATAACTTAACTTTTGGAAAACAACATCTGTAACTAACTATAAAATAGCAACAATACATCAATGTCCTGTTCATGGTGGCACATGTTTAAAATTAAACGTTTATTTCCATTTACCTTTCAATTAATCTTGTATAAAAATGTCTCACGAATATGTCAACATTAATACATAATAAATTTTATGTACTTTGAAGAACGTGTGCTAATCATTGTTTTTTTGTTATTTCAGAAAAAGCGTCTCGAGGAGGTAACGTAATGACGGTCGACTACAAAACACAACGTTTTACATTCTCAAATAATTATTCTATATAAAAATGAGATAATTGTGTAGAAATATTTTATAAAATGCAGCACAATGCAAAAGTAAAAGTATCTGAATGAAAACTAGTATTATTTGTAAGCAAATTAATACATTTTGATGACATATATGTCTATATTATAAATACGTTCATGTACATAAATAATATACTTCATTTCATTAATAAAAAATAGCCCGATATTTGATTACTGATTAGCCTTTTTTTAACAAAGTAGGTTAGGTTTTATGACATATAACACACACATTAAATATTAGAAAAGTAGGCACACTGTTACCATTATTTTGACTGTCTTTAGGCGAAGAAGGCCAAACAGGCCGAAATCGACCGCAAGCGCGCTGAGGTGCGCAAGCGCATGGAGGAAGCCTCCAAGGCCAAGAAGGCGAAGAAAGGTTTCATGACACCTGAGAGAAAGAAGAAACTCAGGGTGAGTATGCAGTTTGAAATATTATATACTTTTATAGATAGAGAGTCTTAGTAATCAACACCTAAAAATTAAACAGGTGAGCTGCTTTCTAATTAATCTCAATCATTATTGAGGGGAATATTAAATATAGTGTTAGAACGGAATATAAGTACGTTTATTTATTTGTTAGGCAATAAAATCTATTTGAGTACCAATTTCGTATCGAATACAACAAAAATAGGTATTTACCGAGTTTTTATATCCTTCATAATAGTTGCTGCTGCGTAAAAAAGCCGCCGAGGAGTTGAAGAAGGAACAGGAGCGCAAAGCGGCCGAGAGAAGGCGCATCATTGAGGAGAGGTGCGGTAAAGCAAAGAATATTGACGATGCCAATGAAGGTAAATATTATTCCTCACGAAAACATTGATCTATGACCAATTTCGTAAATTTTATAATATATGTCAGTGATCTATACCATTGCCAAGATGTTGTAATTTAAGCACTCAATGATTCAGATATCGTATGTCATACACATCACACCACATCAGCTTACAGATGATTGTCATCCAATGGTGACCCATGTAATGTATGTTATATCATATTATAGATTCTCTTTCGAGGATTTCCAAAGAATACCACGACCGCATCGCTCAACTTGAAGACCAAAAGTACGATCTGGAATACATCGTTAAAAGGAAAGATATGGAGGTAGTGAGACGGGCCGCTGTGGATCGGCTCTCTTTTGGCGACTTACCAAACTTACATAACTTCACTTTCATTTAACGTTACTTGTGATATGAAAAGTGCCGTGTTGTCTCTCTTTCGACTGTTTGACATAACAGAGTATTTTAACTAGTCACTGGTGTGGCGGGCAATCAGCTTCGGCCCATTTATCTATTCTAATGCGTTTCTCTTCTTCTTCAAACCAATTTTAAGTCGTTATATTTATCTGCGAATACTTACTACCTTCTGTTTTTCCGATAAATTTCCTCTTGAGACTCACATCATAACCAACTGTACGTTGATCGACGATATCACCGGTCGACCTAGGTGCAAGTAAGAACGTGTGTGTAGTGCGGGCGAGTAACTTATGGTTGATTTTATAGCGGCTCTCACGAGCATCATAACCGGTTACCATCAGCGAATCATCAAGCTCGAAGAGGAGAAGTACGATCACGAGATGGAGGTGGCCCGAAAGGGACTCGAGGTCTGACCTGGTTTGGGCGCAACGCAAACTTTACACGCTCTTCGTTTGAGTAGTTCATGCCGTTAATGTGACTAGAAAAATAATTATTTGTTTTCGCAGCCGTATCATAATTATAAATTTGCGAAGCTGGAACCAAATATACCTACATCCTTAACCGTGTGGATAACAATTAAATTTTATATACGCTAAAATAACAAAGATCGTGGTAGCGACTCTGAAGCTGCTAATTCGATAATGTAGATACTCTCATCGAGTTTCGAGTCAATAACAACATAGGCTATGATGCAGTAATTTTCCATCTATGATCCTACCTGTACAACTGCAATCATGTAGCTTCGCTTACGCTTGTACTCCTCGAGTGGAGAGGTCCCCATCTAGAGTTCTACACTACGACATTCGTACGACTGCGGGACGGCCGCTGATTTGCTTCCGATCTCATACCATACCTTAAAGTTTAATTGTTTTTCTTTAGCGGAACTGCAGACAATATGTCAAATGTACTGGCACAGAATATACAACCTTGAGGGGGATAAATATGAGCTAGAACGAGCGATCGAAATTAGGAAAATGGAGGTAAACTACATAATTAGGAGTGGGAATGCATATGAGTTGATTCTGATTTAGTTATTACAACATGACATGATAGTTGTACGGCTCACCGCACACATGCACACGTCGCCCCCGTCGACAGACGCAGGTTACTCACACAATGCCCATGCTCATTCTGCTGGCTCAATAATCTGTCTTTCCTTTTTCTATAGCATTGCTCAAGAGAATAATACAGGAGTATTATGACCGCATGTATGTGTGTGAGGGCCAGAAATGGGATTTGGAACATGAAGTCAGGAAAAGAGATTATGAGGTATTGACCAATACTTTATAACCATTGTGAATATCACAGTCATCGATAACGTAACAACGTGCGCGTGTGTAAATTCGTGTTTATATATATATTGACAATGCTTTGTAAGTTTTCGGTTGTTTGTTGTTGAATTGTAAATAACGGCGAGGGGAGGCTCGGTAGTGTAAATGTAGAACGGGTGTGTGCGAGATGTAAGACGCGCCGCGAGTCGCTGAGACAGCGGCGACAGAAGCGGGCGCAGGCCGAACGCGGCGCGTACGGCTGCGGTGCAAAATCGATCGGCGCGTCATCCGACATGGAGCTTACACCATTAACTACACTAACTACAGTAACCGCGATCGCCATCGGCGTAACAGTAACCACACTGCACTCACTACTGATGCGGGCAGCTTTGCCACAACATGCATGCCCGCGTAACTCGCACCTGCGGCATCATTATCATCGCACTATGTCCTCTATGCTTGTCTTATTCATCATTTTCTTCAGTTCAAGGTATCTTCGATATCATTATGAGACCTATCTTCATTATTATTGTCTGCTCCTAATTATGTGTTGTTTTCATATATGTAAAGCTTTTTATGTCTGTTGCATGACTCTAAAAATGTTAACAAAATAAGCTTCCAAATCCCGATTAATATTTTCACTCCTAAAATAGTATGGCACTTTAATAAAATTAAATCGAGTGTTTAAGCAGTAATAATCGAGAGCACCGTCGCTGCATACGCCAATGTTACGCTTCATGTGTGGTGGCAAGCTTAGTGGCCTTACTGAATTTTCTCTTTTTATGATAACATAATTTAGTTTCCGTTGAAGTGTAAATGGAACGCTGGACTGGTTCCTATATTGGCACACGCAAGTGCATAGTGTAAGTGAAACTTCTTGTTCCAAATCTCCAACTTTTCATGTATGTGCCGCGTATTTCTCGCGAAATGTTTGCGTGTTCGGTTGCTGAGAGCCCCAGATACCTTTTGTAATACCCGATGTGATTAGCTGGACACCGAGTGTTTCAATAGAAAGTGCCATGCTCTGGTCGAGTTGCCCATCCCTTCCCTGTCGACTCCGAGCCCGCGGCGTCCTCGGTCGCACAGTTTATATTTGCACCCACTATTCGGGACACGGAGTGGTATATACTATGCTCACTTGCGAGTCCAAAGACACTACAAAACAATAATATATATACTTTTACATTTGCAACTCTGGATCGATTTTGCACCGTCACCCATAACACACACTTGCAACGTTCTTACTCTCTGTTCATACAATGTACGTCTTTAAAACCGTTCAATAAAAAGACGTACATATGTAATTTGGTTAAAGCACATGAATATAGCGCTCAATATATTACAACTTCGATTACTGGACTAGAGAACATGGAAACACATGATTACCGTACCACATACAATCCGATCAGCGTCGAAGAAGTATAATATTTTTGGCGCTGGTTTGTTTTGCACCATGTACAATATCCTGCACATAAATGTTATGAGTATTAAGAAAACAGGAGCTGCAGGCGACCAGCTACCAATGTCGAGGCACGGTAGATTTTGTGCACGTACTTCTAAGTAGACTATAATGAATTGTTATTAGAGAACGTATATTTATAGGCAAAGAGCACAGGTTAAAGATATATAGGCAACGAGTGGTAGGCAACGGGACTGACATTTGCGGAGTATTTTCTGTATGTATTTACATACATACTTCTGAGAATTAAACTGATCTACTGCTCGCAAATAACACCGCCTAATCTTCACCCAGCTCTATATCTTGTTCTGTGCTTTTCTCGTATTAATAATTCATCATTATATTTTAAACACTGTTACAATTCTACATTCTGCTCTACATATGTATTGTTATGCTTTATTTTACAGATCTTTTGGAGTTTGACGCTTTCAATGTTTTCTGACTTCTTTTCGTGAATTGCATGAAGTTTTTGGTATCTGGTATTTTACGTAATTTTTTACTTGACTGTACCTATATAGCAAACAGTACGTTATGGAAACATAATTTTACTATATTAGTTTTATTATCAATATAATTCATTTGTAGAAACAACATAAATATTATGTACTTTTAATTTTGGTACAGACGTGTGAAATTATTACTGTAATCACTATTACTAGAAAAAAATATTATTTAAATTTCTTTTATAATTTTCTTGAGTTTCTCCAATTGGCTAAAAAATACAATCATATAAGTAGATAATTAAAATAATTTTCAATTTTAATGTAAATATGAGTTTTCTCATTTTCACCATTTAAATTTATTTCTTATTCTTCCAATCTATGATCTAACTCTTTGAAAGCCTAAGATAAGCTAACTTATTTCATTTTACTCATAATTTACTCTCTTTTCACACAAATGTTGTATTTGACAGATCGCTGACCTGAACTCTCAAGTCAATGACCTCAGAGGCAAGTTGTAAGTATTAATTATATATTTAAATTATTATTGGCCATATTAAATATTGCATTCATTACAACTTTAACAGTTGATAATGGTACTGACTACCCTATCTGGGATAATAGTCATGAAGGTATATTAATCTGCTCCCAATAAAATTCCAATTTTATAGTAACAGGATCGTTACAATCATATACAAAACATGTTCATCATATTATAATATAAAATGTTGGTGTATGAAATTTTTTTTTATGTTTATTCGCCCACTAAAATCTCGTGCTAAGTATAATTTTTTTTTGTAAAAAATGTAACAAACCAAGTGGGCAGGATGTGACTCTGAATACAATTATATTCAGTATAATGATACGGCCGCGTCTGAGAGCCGCTGAGGACTGCGCCGCGCCGCAACACTTTACTTCCTTTGTTATACAAAGACCATGCCATTTATAATATGAATGGTTTCAAATTTTAGTCGGATGAATATATTTTCTTCCATATATATACTAGCTGTACCCTCGTCTTCGCCCGCTTGATAGATTTAGCTTATTCTGATATATAAGCTTTATTACTCTAAGGTTACGTCAAAATCCGAAAGTACTTTTTGCGAGAAATAGTAACAAATGTGGTGTGGGGTCCACCTTATCATTCAGGGGTATGAAAAATAGATGTTCGCCGATTCTCAGGATTTACCTGACCTTACCGCAAAATTTCATAAAAATCAGTTAAAAAACCGTTTCGGAAGAGTTCGGTAACAACTACCGCGATACTAGAATTTTTTGTTGTTTTTGTTGTTTTTAAAATGAATTTATGAACTCAAAATAATGTTTTATAGAATTTATGACTGCTTGTTTATCTGCGTGTTCCTGCGCGTTAATCTTAGAAATGATTTAACCAATTTTCGTACGGTTATCACTAATGTATTAATCATTACATAGAATTTGGTGCTTATTTTATATCTATCGATATAGAAATAATAACGTTATAGGTGTACAAAGCTTAACTTGAATTTGAATTTTAGATACACAGTATTTCAGTATATATTTAATAGTATTTCAATATAACAGTAATTCATTATTTATTGAGAATGTTACTGATTTTAGAGTAGTTGTGTACTTTTTTAAAGTATATTCAACGAATTAAAGTGATGTATTCTCGTTATGTGCTGAAAATATTGAAATATTCAAAAATATTCCAATTTATGCAATCCGGTTACCCGTGCATATATACATATTAAACACACAACTGCTGAAAGAAGTACCAAGGATTGACCTTCCAAATTTTTAAATAATAATATGCATAAGTTATTATTGAACAAAATAGCTTTATATTATACTTTTCCATCCTAACAACGACGCCAATTCAATTATTTAATGACTAGGTATTAGTTGAGCCATTGTGACAATAACGTTTTTAATATTATTACAAACACGTAACTATTATATCATTTCAATTTCTATATATAAATAGTTTACATTGCACTAACGTTTGTAATTCTTAGTAGGGACGATATTTTTAACGTTAACACATAAATAATGTTAAGCTCGAGTAATCTATTTCACACAGCTTTGGACATCGTGCCATTTCCTTTAATGTCTCCAATCTTACTACTCTCAAGGGAGTTAGTCCATCAGCTACATAAAACGCTCGGTATACATGTCGGGTGTACCGTATCATAATATGAAATTCGACTTGTTATCGATAATAGGAAAATACACTTAGATATATCGTAAATTAGTAAATACATTTGAATGTAACTAGAATATCGAACTGAAAATGTTGACAAATTGCTGACTGGCCACCGTCGTCTGTATATGAACAAACAACAACGCATCACAACATCATGTGAATCACATGGCAACTTTCTTGTTTGGCCTTCGTATTCAGTATGTTTACTGTCATATATCAAAGTTCAAATAGTAACACATTACAAAGCCAACTGCTTGGCGTCAGAAATAGGCGAGATATAGGCAAATAGAAAAATATCAGCTCTAGATAAATATCAATAATATGTATGTATACCAATGAATGAAATATTTACTATTGTTATTTTTTCTTTAATTTAGCGTCAAACCCACACTAAAGAAGGTGTCCAAATACGAGAACAAATTCGCCAAACTTCAAAAGAAGGCCGCCGAATTCAACTTCCGTAACCAATTGAAGGTTGTCAAAAAGAAGGAATTCACCCTCGAAGAAGAAGATAAAGAGGTAAATACACGTATATGTAATAGATTATACTAATAGACACATTATATTCAGTACTTTTTCTTTACTCCTAGATTTGAATTCAGGATAACAAAATTGGTAACTATTAAAATCTATCTAATGGATTTAACAAGTTGTCGCAAATATAAACAATTAAAAATTAAATTTATATAGCATTTGTTAAACATTGATTATGATAAACACCGGAAAGAAAATTTTCGGTGATGTCTGAAATCTTAAAATATTAAATATTAAAACATCATTGTAACAGGAATAACATTACATTTTTACGAAACTGAACAATTTAATCTTATACACATACATAATAAATTGCACTCACTATAGAACTTCTAATAATTTTCTAAACTGTAATGATACCTAACGTAAAAGTATAGTTAATTTTGTTAAATTTAGTGTTGGTTCGATTCCACCATACTGTACCTCTAATGGATTCTCTAATAACTTTACAACACTAATAATATCTAATACATAAATATACATTCCACTAGTACTATATATACAGATTAAAAACCTGAAATTACTAATTACTCATGTTCCAACAGGCCAAGAAAGCGGAGAAAGCTGATTGGGCTATCGGGAAGAAGTAGATAACATTCAACAAAAAATATATATATATAATATCTTTAAAAATTCCCGTCACCATTCATTTTGAAATGGTTTAATTTTAACGCACTATAATATTATAATAAATTATTTTCTATTTCCACCAAACACTTTTATTGTTAAGTTTTTTCAACCAACCGATAAAATAGTGAGGTGAGAAAATGTTTGGATTCGCTCCATGCTTCTCCCGTAGTTGTTTTGATCAATTTAATAACGAATCGAGGTCCCTCAGCCCCAGGCCAGCTTACGTTCCGTATTATTTATTTAAATGCCATTTTCTTCAGAATTCAGAATCCCCTGCTAAGCTTCGCTAATCCTATGTTCATGAATTTTCAGGGACTAGGATGTTATAGAAAGTGCTAATATTGTTTTTAAAATACCTTGACGCTAATGACTAACACATAAACTGTGTAACAATTATCTCCTGTTTATTATTCAACGATGAAATTTACTATATTTATTTCACTTCATAGAATATCGTATAGATATAACGGAAAGAGACAATGCGATGAACTAATAAACAATGACATAATATATAATTAATTCTATCAATCTATAAATTTAACTTTTCACATACAGAATCATCATACTATACAACTCCGATCAAAATATATTTAGCACCTGTACCTTTATTTCGTTATGACATCACAGCATAATAACATATTGTCATGCGATTATCCACAGGGTGGTGCCGGAGGAAAGGTAAATGAAATATAAATGCCATGTAAAAAGAGGTTTTATATAGAAATGATCGTACTCGCGGCATGTTAGTGCCACACTTGCACAGCTTGAAGCCATTCTTAGAATGGCATTGGCAATTGCCTGGTTTCATTATTCTGGGTGTACGACCATGCCAATTTATCTTCTATATCAATTACAATTGGCAATAAATCAGCCTTGCATACACTCTTCTAGACACTTACTGTAAATCTGCTTTTGTGTGTCACCCACTCGCCAATTAGGGCATATATTATATACACATAAGTATATAATTTGAATATGTTATAGGATGCAATACGATTCGCTTCAAGTTTTGATAGTACGGTTTTTGTAGGCACATCCCTAGTGTTTTTTATTCGCTTCGACGTGTGATCTGCTTCAAGGGTGTCAGCATCGTCATGGCGTAAATAACTTCATATTGTACTATAAAGAAATTGTACTAATCACAAAATATAATTTATCACAATCTAGACACTTCTAAAAACAACATAGTACAATATGAGATTATTTTTTTATTGGTCTCAAGTTCTACTATTTTCTTTTCAAGGAAACCAATGATACACGTCCATTATACATATATATAGATATAAATATTTTGACTAACAACTTCGTTTCTAGTCTTTCAAAATCCCGTTTTATGTTTCGATTATGATACTAAAATTTGTATACAATAGTGAATTACAAGTAAGTTTAAAAAAGTCAGGCTTCAAGTTTGAAACCTGATACTATTAAACTTCTTTTTCATTAAAGTGTTGTCTGTTTTAAAGTGAGGTTAATTTATTTCAATTACTTGGTAATTAATTTTCAGTGTGTAGTGACATTTGTTTCCTTGTTATAATGAAAATACTATACAACACCTGCGTACATGTATATACTGTCAACTGTACAGGCTTATTTCCACATTTTCTGAGTAGCTATTTTATATACAAAGTCATTGGACTATCTAGACGTGTGTCCTAATACGGCATTTTACTGAGTTGACTATTCTATGCATATATACTTCGTTATTATTATGTATGTATTGGTAAAGTATATAATTTTTTATACAACAAACAGAAGAGAACATTTTATGTACATTTACAAATGAAATAAAAATAATAACGAAGTATTACAATATTTAAAGAAAAAGATATTTAAGAGTGTGAACATAACATGTTAATTTTAATTTTACAGAAAAAACCAGACTGGTCCAAGGGCAAACCGGGAGATCAAAAGGTAAAAGAGGAAGAAGTTGAGGCATGAAGTGTTTCCCTACCATAAATTATATTAAGGCCTGCCATAAACATCCAATCTATGTGATAAACCCACCCTGTATGTGGTTAGTTTCATCGATAGGCTCCTACAATATCCACCCGTGTAAGCCATTGGCAAATTCCTTCCGTATTTCTATGTATATTTTCCAATAAGAAGAACCGTGACTACCATTTCAAATATGTGAAACAGTTTTTATAATTATTTATTTATTATATAATTTTTTTTGTAAGATAATAAAATTAATTTTCTGTATTACATTATGTGTTGTTGCGATGTCATTTTTGTGTACCTTTTTCCTATTTATTTTCAACATTCCTTTGTCCCTTACCTGTCGTTAATTTTATCAGTAGCGTTTTAGGATAAAATAAAATTGTTTTCTTTGTTATATGCCTCCTCGGCACACGCGTGTCCCTCTGTGTATCCATTTAAATATTTACCCTTTTACATTTTTGTCCAAACATATTATTGTTTTAGAATAAAATCACAATTCAATAACTGTTTTGTAATGACAGTTGATTTACATAATATTAAAATAGCGTTTTCTTTGTAATGCATGTAGGTGTATCATGTTTTATAATTTACATTTAGATTGCTAGGAAAAAACGATTCTGTATGCAGAAGAAGATACGAATTCATTTCAAGAAAGATTTGTTTTTCTTGGCATACTTAATAAGTATTTTATTTAAATATTATCTGCTTAGGATTGAACTGGAGACACATAATTATATTATTTGTCAACTTTTTTTTTTAAATCACTAATCAGTGTAATGTCTACCTGATATTTTATTTATGTAGGTAATTTCCTTATCTAACTTTAATAGTAACAATAGTAATATTAAATAAATACTTTTATATTAATTAAGTCATTTTAAAAAACCTTTTAAAATGATAATACGTTGGATTTAAGAATAACTAAAAAGTAAAAAGCTCCAGTTGTAAGAAAATTAACTACGCATTAGAAGTTTTTAGATTCGTGGAGATTGTACCTATAGCTTGAAATTGGAGTTGTCACATACTCCAATATTTAGTCACAATAGAAAATTTTCATTGCATATTGGTAGTCGCTTCGATATATAAAACATGGATTTATTATGAGAGCAATCATCTCGCTTTATACAGAGTCAAATGAAACCTGATTTATTAACCTTTTTTGGTAAGTATAAAAATGCGAAATTTCAAAATGAATTGTTCAGTAGAGATATTCCAAAAATATAATATAGCCAAAAATTATACGTATATATTAATTGAGGAATTGCTGGTATTGAATGTAGCAGAAAGACGAATTCAATGAAGTAGACAACAATTATACAGAGATAGTTTTGTAAAAGTAGATACTTTCGAAAAATATAATTATGTAGGTACATATAATAAATGAGGAACTGAATGTAGCAGGCAGACGAAATCTGTCATGAAGTAGTCAACATTTATATACATATGTAAAAATATAATATAATAAAATAAACATAATTAGGCCGAACTGTGAAGGGCACTGACTTTAATTTTGGGATAAAGAATAATACTATGAAAAGCTTTCTTCTCCTTTCCTGATAGCTTAGGTAAACAATGGTTTAATTTTTGAGGAAGAAAATTATCTGCGAGCACGCACTTACAGCATAAGATAGCATGACAGTATAAGATAGTAGATATGATTACTCGTTTCTAAATTTAGTCTGTAGAATTGTAAAATTATGCAGTATATGCAGTCCACTACTGGACATAGGCCTATCCCAAAGCATGCCACTGGGCGCTATTATCTTCTTGTCCAATCTTTACGCAACCCTATATATGTTGTCGCTCTATCTAGCTGTGGGGCGTCCTACACTACGTTTGCCAATTCGCGGTCTCCACTCTAGAACACGTCTATTTCAACGAAAATTAGGCATAATTTTACTCAGATAATCTACATAAACATCTTGTTATATGCAAAATAATGCATTTAGTGTATATATAATCTAGATTCCTCCTTCAATATTTTATTATAATATTAGAATAATCAATAATTACAACCCCTTTTCAGTTGTGTCAAAGTCAAAATCATATACAATAGTTTTTGAAGCCAGCACATAATAATTTGTTGTCACATTCCCTACCAACCATTTTGGCTAGCTACTTCAACTAAGATGAACTGGTAATTTCTTGCCAGTTGAGTTTGCTCAAATTAAATATCCTACAAAGTATGGGTAACTTTTTTCTGGTTCTATAATAGTTCTTTAGTATTCTGGGGATATGTCATCACTAGAACGGTATATGTTACTTATATAGCGACGGCATATGATTTCTTTGTATGGATGTTGATGGAATGATGCACCCACCTGTACCAAGGGTATACTCCGACGCGGCACCAGTGAAGATGTGATGAAGTCAGTGCAGTAGACCCATCGTGGCTTATCTTATTAATATTATAAATGCGAAAGATTGTAACTATGGATGGATGTTTGTTACTCTTTACGCAAAATATACTGAACGGTTTTTGATGAAATTGTTTTTGATGAAATTTTACAGTAATATAGCTTATACATTAGAATAACATATAGTTTATAAAATTCACGCACAAATAGCGTGCACAGCTAGTTCATTATAAATTAGCCACGATGGTTTCTAGGGGGACTGCATGGAGATTGACCCGTTTCACTGCCATTACTAATGATATATCTCGGGATCACATGTGTTGACCACAACATGAAGATATATATATTTAATATTTGCAAGTTGTTTTCATTATAACAACTATATAATCATTACATTAGTTGCAAAATAGATAGTTTAGCTATCAAGATTATACTACTACATTTTAATGTTGGTACTTATATAACTACATGAGCCCACCTAATAAAATACTTTATTAAAAATTTGAAATACTTTAAATACCAGGCCATAAATTTAGCAGTTTAGCTTTTATTTAACACTTTTAAAGTCTAATTTCTAAAAATTAAAATGACTGAGTCAATTCAATATTATACTAGGTGTGCAATATTATAATTAATATGAAGCTATACATATTTATATTCTAATATAGAGCATAATATGGAATACGTATAATTAGTAAAAATCACAAGATCTCACCACGTTTGAGTTATCCAGGGAACTTAATGAAAATAAAACGTGGTAAGATCATGTGATTAAATATGTATACTAGCTGTCCAGTAAACGTTGTTTTGCCATATAAATTAATAACCCTATAAAAAAATAGGTGTGGACAACCCTTATCACTTAAGGGTATGAAAAATAGATAGTAGCCGATTCTTAGACCTACTGAATATGCATATAAAATTTCATAAAAATTGGTAAAGCCGTTGCAAAGGAGTATGGTAACTAACATTGTAACACGAGAATTTTATATATAAGAATGTAGTCAAATTAAAATAGTTTATAATATGAATTATTTCGTATTAGTAAAATTTAAATTCATATTACTACATTAGTTTATATATACATTCTTTTTATGTAGCGAAATGAAGTTATTTGTTACAAACAATAGTATATTTAGTACTTATATCGATACTGTCCAATTCTCTGAGAATAACTCCTGAGATTGTTCGGTAAGTGTATTGAATTATTTTAGCTTATAACAAGTAGATTCTAAATGAATCTAATAATTCTTTGCAAACAGTTCTTGCTTACTTGGCTATCAGGAGCTTTAAATTGCTAATGCAAACTACGTTTTTACGTAACCAATTGCTGATATTCATTCATGGCATTAAACGAAATTTTGCTTTATACAAAATTAACACCATCTCTGAATGTTGCATCATATAGGAATCAAATTGATATTAACAATTCATAAATAACATCATGCTTCTCATATACGTTAATTATTAATTTTAATATGAATTATAGACGTAATCAATAATTCGCATTAAGTTGCAATATTAAATGGAACTAATTACGGGATTAATACTGTAATATAATATTCGTTCGGTCCAAAATATTTCCTTTCAATTATATATATGATAATCTTATTCATCATTCTTTTATATAAATAAATTATACTAAGTATGCGTTCTTAAACAATGTTATGAAATTTGTTTTTTTAATGATATCCCCGTATAGATTTTCTTTTAAATATCTATAACTTGTTAAAACTAAACAAAAGATACATTTATAAATTTAATTTAACATAATACAAATGCAAATATGTAACTAAAATATCAATCAAATAAAATAAAAACTTTATTTTTATGAGATTGTACTTGTATCGATGAAAAACAAAAAATATTACAGATTAAATTTTTAATATTAGTCGAACTTAAATTACTGACTCTAAGATTTACGAAATTATTTACTGTCGTATTGTGTTACTTCCATTTAACATTACATCTATAGCTGACCTCAATATTAATTTCACGAGTTTATGATCTGCTCTTACTCATTTTGGAAACATGCAAGTTCCACTAATTTGATAGTAGAAATGAGATTGAAAATATCAGCGATGTGTTTTGTAACGCTTTAGGAGGCGGGAGCGGGTGATGGCGCTCCCACAGATGAGGCTTCACCTGAAGAGGGCGCGCCTCCTGCCGAAGGAGCTCCTCCTAGTGAGGGCGCTCCTCCCGCAGAAGGAGCGCCAGTGGAAGGGGCTCCAGCCGCACCAGCAGAGGGCGCCCCAGCGGCGCCAACAGAAGGCGCTCCAGCGGCACCAGCTGAGGGCGCTCCAGCGGCACCTCCAGCAGAAGGTGCAGCACCTCCTGCCGAAGGGGCGCCACCAGTTGAGGGTGCACCGGCGGCGCCTGCAGCTGCTCCTCCCGCAGACGGTAAATTATTTTATATCGTACCTGGTGATAATCAGTGTCCATAAAACAATTTGTAATATGATTACAGTCTTGATTTGGATAGTCACATTAATTAAATCCGCTTACTTGCTTGCTATAATCACTATTATATTAAGCAAATAAACAGATTTGCTACAAATAATAAAACCAATAACAAGAAACATTAGTTTATGTACAAGCTCAGAGCGCTTTAATTCTGGACCCATTAGAAATTTAAAGTTACTGGATAAAGAAAAATAGTTTTTTATTGTGGTAATTCTATAATTTTTATAGAATTACTAGTATTCTAGGAAGAAAGATTTTGGATAAAATAAAAACTTTAAGTGATATGTTGTTTAAATAATGTTACTGATGTGGTGAACTGTCAGTACAGATTGGCGTAGTTTTGAAGTAACACCGACCGCAGGATACTTTGTTCAACTGGTTTTACTTCTTTTTTTAGTAATGTAATACTTTATAAAGTACAATAACAAGTCAAGTAAATAAGTAAAAAAATCTTTTTATGATAGGTATACTACTTTATATTATTTATTTATAAAGTAGTTATATCATACATCTCTTTCAATCTCTTTAAACGTTCACAGGTGCGCCAGCACCCGTACCAGCTGCTCCCGCGGAAGGGGATCCAGCGGCGGCACCTGCTCCTGCTGCCCCAGAAGGTAAATATCGTTTACTAGTCTTAATTATCTCACTTTTGCTTGGACTTTCGAATTGCCCAATACGACAATAATGGAAATTGCCGGATACTTTTATTTTTTCAATGCACTGATGCACTGTGCACATATTGTATTCACATTTCAGCAGCACCAGCGCCTGATGCAGCAGCGGCGCCTGCTCCTCCTGCAGAAGGTATTGTTATTTGAATTATATAACATTCCCAGTATTTTTTTATTTGTGAAGTTATTTTACTTATATGGTATTGTCATACAGATACTAAGTATTTGATAGTGATGTGTGTACAGTGGCATAACAATAAGGGAATAGAGCAGGTAAAATATCATGGGACCGAGGTCGAGAATACCTTTGGTTAATTATTGTATAATTTTCTACAAAAATTATATTTAACCAATTTAAGGAACTACAAAATGATCCGTATTTAGATTAAGTGAGTGCTCTGTCCGATGAATTTGTATCGGACCTGTACGGTACTGTATGTAATTTATATGTATAATGTATCACATGCATGTATGGTTTATGAAATTAGATAGTGATCCATTGGTCTGAGTATAAAAAAATCTGAATATAATGTCAAATTAGAAGGACATGAGTATAATATTGTTCTCCTTGTCTAGTTAGCTATTCTCTTAATTTAACAGAAGGTGATGAGTTATTTCTGATCAATCAGTAGAAAATACCCAGACCGATACAAACAATCAAACTCATGAATATAATAGTTTGTAGTAATCGTACCCTCTACTAAAGGTAGTAAGGCGGTGTGCTAAACCGCTAGACCACCGAGGCCGTATGTATTATGAGTAATAGATAAAGTGACAGAATTAAAAAAATAATATTTTTACCAGCACCAGCGTCTACACCGGCACCAGAGCCTGCGCCCGCGCCGGCAGCGGAACCCGCAGCGCCGGCAGATCCACCACCAGTTGAAGGTTTATTACTTTTCACTTCTTTTGTATAAACAGAATATTGATAATAGGATTTTTGGAAGAACTTCAAACAAGCTGCTGATCTGTCGCCTATAGAGTTAATATGCCACCAATAACCTAATAGTATTCTGTGACATGCCAATATTCCTGAGTATTATACTTTCAAACCTAGTTGTTATACAGTCAGATATCATACTTCACCGAAACAAATTTGCATGGCAAGCTGCTTGGTGACAGTATTCGTGACATATAGATCGAGCTATGGGCTATAGTAGTTCGCTGTTATTAAAACCGTTTTTTTTATATATCACCTTTTAATTATGAATAATAACATTCTCAGCATTAGTCCTTTTAATAAAAAAAATAAAATAATACTTCTAAAGAATAACATCGTACGACCACTATTTTCTTATTTTGTAAATGTTTTCGTATTTTGGAGCAAAAAAATGTTCTACTATAAAGTAAACAATAATAAGTTATTTGAAAGGACCCGCTATCAATTAATTATCTAATACAGGTTGAATCTCTTTTTACAGCATCCGCATAATCCAGGTGTACAATTTGAAAATTCATCATGCTCAAGAAATCGACATTGTTGCCGCCTCGCTCTGGACATGTGGTCAAACTTAATCATTTTGTACTATTTCTATATTAATTAGGAGATTCCACGTATTATGTAAATTTTGTATTATGATCATAAAATAAATATTTATTGCATTTTTTTATTTCGAAATTTGTGACGTCACTCCAGACAAAGCCGTCCTTTGTCTGGAGACTGAATATCTTCTCCATTTATATAGCAATAGAACATAAATAGTAGACGCTATTACTAGGATAATACCCATAGTTTCCATTGAAACTATTTCCATAAGAACATAAGCTCCCAACGAACTAATTACAAAGCATTAGAAACAGAAGTGACAATTAGCGAAAAGTTAATCACCTCGACTAAACTGCTTGTAAATTAGGCTGAGTCAGGGTCGGGACATGCCTTACGACCGCTCGACCCTAATATCTTAGCCCCTATTATTTGAATAGAATCCCGAGTAGTTACGCAAACTCTTTGAGTAAATGGCCCTTGTACGTAGCCCTTAAAACAATGGACCCGACGCTCATGAATGGACAAGTACAAGACATTTGATATATTGTTACCTACATGATGTAACCATTAATTTGAGTTAACCAAATCGAGTACAGGATAAGCAACGGAATTTTATATTTTTAGCTTACGTTAAGTCAACTTACAAGTTTACGAATACATAGTGAATGCACAGATTTCACATGTACAATAAAGTACACCGAAAAAAGAAGGTTAAAATTTCCGAGTGAAATCTCTGGAGTAGAATGGTCTTAATAATTATCTCTCATTCGCTTTATCTTCAACCCTATGACGGTAATTAATGGGCTACATTAAGTTTAATTAAAATAGGCTTTCTGTAATACTGTAATTCCAACTTTGAATATTTTTGGTTGCAAAACTTTTTATACTTGCACAGGTCTTTTTCCCTTATACGATTTAAAATTAAAGGACATAAAGAGGCAGTGTAAACATACATAATTTCTACCTATTTAATATACACTGATGAATCGATCTCTTTCTAAATCCATTTCTAAGAACAAGTTGGAACAAACATTGAGGTCGTTATTTCATTAAGAGAAAGCTTCTTCTTCTTTTTCTTCTCGAGTACATATTTGTATTTATAAATTTACTTTTCAATTTCTGTAATATTATACTTTTAATACTTACGTGAAATATCTTGATCAGATATGATCATGTGGAAGTCAGGTTTCAAATCTATCTCATGGAATCGCATGAAAGATAGACGAGTTAGCATTGAGACAGTTCTGCCTATTCAGTACGATTCCTGTCGTAAGGAAACGTAGATAACGGGAATGAATAAATAAATGCAATATTAGCATTATTGCATTTATTAAAAATTAATAAAACATTGCTTAATTTTGTTATAAATACCTAATAATGAGTATAGTCAAACGGACCTTTCATATACTGCTGAACAAATATTTGAACACGTGTTTTCCCATTTGCCTAAATTGTTTAGTGAATTCAGTTCAATGGTTTCAATCACAGACTGATAACATGTAGGTTCCTTTGAGATCTTAAGATGATATTGATCATAGATATGGAAAATTATGAGTGTATATATATATTCACACCCCAACTCCCATATAATTTTGTGACAACTATGATTTAAGATTACTTTTCTAATAAATACAAATGAAAAAGAATATCTTTTCTAAAAAATAGCAAGTTCATTGATTTGAATTTTTTTGCTTTCGATTATTTAGGTCTTAAATGCAGTAATATGAATATTTAACCAATCCGAAGTCATAAACATTTAAGACTATGTCTCTCTGAAGTATTGGCTACGCCTATTAGGTCCTTAATTTCTTATTCGCATACCTCTTAATCTGCAATGCAGTTTATTTATCTTGTTAAATTTCGCCACTGTGGACACGACTTAAGATGGACACGTGTGAACAATAGAAGACAAACCCACTAATATTAAATTTTATGAGAACACTGAGGTTATATTTTCGCTTTCGTGGCCTTTTATTTTTTTATTACAGATAGGAAATTAGATTGGGCTCTTTTTCTCCCGAATTCTAATTTTCCACTCCCTTGAGCTTGTGTTGAAGATTTCTTTTCAGTTGCGCAAAAGAAAAATCTAAGCAGCATATAAATATTTTTTTATATCCAGTTACGGGGTAAACCCTGCCTCAAGAGGTCAAATAATGTTTGTAGATAGATCGATTGTATATTAAAAAGTATATATAAAAAAAAAGAAGAAACAGATACAATATTTAAGTCTCAATATAACATTATGTCACTGCTGTCCTTACTAGGTCATTATAATGACCTGTATGAAGGACATCCAGTTACATTTCCTAAGTGAAAGTTAGATTCCCTAGATATTAAAAAATAATGCTAATAATAATACTGCTGTTGTAGGATGCTAATGTGGTACATGTTCGTGAGAATACTTGTGAGTATGTGTTTGTGTCTGGATGTGTGTGTGTGTGTGTGTATGTGTATGTGTGTATGTGTATGTGTGTATGTGTATAAAGTGTACTATAATTACAAATTTAGGGGCATAATCAGTTCCTCAGTTTGGTCATAACTTTTATTTAGCAAATATGCGCGTACGATGTTCTTGAACTGATAATTAGATAGACCATGAATGTCAATGTTTGAATTTATTCTGTTGTATAAAGTGGGAGCTAAATAATATAAGAATCTATAAGTGAAGGTCAGTTTAGGTGAGGGTATAGGACAGATGTTGTCTTTACGTCGTTTGTTGGTGCTAGTATAAGGGGATTTACGATGCTGATAGAGGGTCGTGTTTAGTACATATAATTGCCTAACAGTCAGAACATTCCAATCAAGATATAATTGAGACGTTGGGTATAGTATGTGTTTGAATGATGCAACTTTTAAAACTGCTCGTTGAGCTACTTCAAGTGGTTTGATGATAGACTTTGCAGCTCCGCCCCAGCATGTAATACCATATGAAATCAAGGATTGTGTTAGCGTGTAGTAAACTGTGCGTAAAACATGTTGGTTGGTTATATGTCTAAGTGATTTAAATATATAAATTAATTTTCTAATCCTAGCAGTTAATGAGTTGATTTGAGCCTTAAAGTTTAGTAAGTTATCCAATATGACACCCAAGTACTTGGTGTTTTCGACGGTTTTTATTCGTGGGCATGTACAGGTAGAATTTTTATGTTGCTGACAATTGTGTACTTGGATTATTATTGGATTTTTTGGTTGTAGATTAATTCTAGTGGAGAATGTAATGAAGTTAGTTTTTACAGTGTTAAGAGTTAATGAATGAGCGATAAGCCAATCGTGTGCAGTATTGAAACCTTCTTGTGACTTTAATTGTAGATCTGACCAGGACTTTGCGAAAAATGAAATAGCAGTGTCGTCAGCAAAAGAAACAATATGGCCATTAGGTATTTTAAGGTTACAGAGGTCGTTAATAAATACTAGAAACAAGGTCGGACCGAGAACACTCCCTTGAGGTACGCCATACGATATTGGAAGTTCATCACTCACATACTCATCAATTTTGACCATTTGTGTCCGTCCAGAAAGGTAGCTTTCAAATAACGACAGCTGGGTACCTCTGACTCCAATTCTGTCTAATTTAAGCAGTAGGGTCGACAAAGGCACGGTATCGAACGCCTTAGCCAAATCTAAGAATATTGTAAGAACCTTGTCCTTGTTATTGAGATGCTCGACAACGTAGCACATTAAGTCATTTATAGCGTGTGCCGTTGACTTGTTACTTCTAAAACCATACTGCTGATTAGAGATTAGGTTGTGATGTTCAAGGTACTGAATAAGACGCTTGTTTATTAATCGTTCAAGAAGTTTAGATAAAGATGTAAGAACAGCAATCGGTCTAAAGTTACTAGCAATATTCCCGTCACCTCCCTTGTGGATAGGATGTATTATGGCTTTTTTAAAACAATCAGGGAATATACCTTTCTTAAAACACGAATTAAATACATGAGATAGAATAGGTGCCAGAACTTTAGAATATCTCTTAAGTACCGATGTAGGTATTCCATCCCAACCAGTAGCAACGCTGACTTTTAAAGAGGCAATAGCGGAAAGAATTTCATTACAGTCTGTAGTCTCTAACACAAAGGAGGATAAGCTGCTTGTGGAAGAGTATGTGTGAGGACGCGAATGTTGTAGACTCAATTGGTTTGCTCCAACTTTGTCAGCGAGTTCTTTCCCTATACCAACAAAGTACCTATTTACAGCATTACACGACTGAATGGGTGTAATCGTGGAGAGTAAAGATTTATTGGAGTGTTGTTTAGTATTAGATGTGTATGTTATTCTTTTTATAGAATTCCACAACAGTTTAGGGTCTTTGCCTGCTTTATAAAGTTCTTGCCTGTCAAATTGCCTTTTTGCTTTTCTTATTATTTTAGTACAATAATTTCTGTATCTTTGATATGTGATTTTTAGTATTGTATTATCCGGCGAGTGTCTTAACTTTTTATGCATGGAGTCCCTATTCCTAATACATCTTAGTAAGCCTGGAGTAATCCATGGCTTAAGTATTCTATTCCTCTTTGAAGGTGTTTTTGTAACAGAGTTTTCAGTTACAGCCTTGGATAATACTTGTACTAATTTAGAAGCGGCTTCATTAGGATCAGGTATGGTAAGTATATGTGTAAAGTCTAATTCATTCATTGTATTGTCTAAGGAATTATAGTCAATACGTGAAAAAGTTTTAACAGGTTGTTGGTTACTTTTCTTTATATGGTGTAGACAAAGTAACGTCGAGTAATGGTCAGTGACTGCAGATTCATATATCAATACAGAAGAAAAGTGGTTAGTACGAAGCATGATATGATCTAAGCAGTTATAGCCTCTTGTTGGAAGAGTGTGAGCTGGTAGGAAGCCATGATACGCGAGATTATTCAGGGACTCATGGGCACGAGGTTCAAGAGACGATGATTTAATATCTATGTTAATATCACCAGTAATAACCACTGTGCGTAAATGTGAGATTTTGGACAATGTGTCATTAAGAGAATCCAAAAATATGTGTATATTTTCAATAGAGGGTGGGCGGTATATACATAGTATAGCAGTATCTTTTTTAAAATTTAATAGAAGGCCAGAAGCTGAATTATGAAAATCAAGTTCTTCAGATGTAAAACACATATTTGATTTAGT